TGCGGTTCAGGCGGCATTCGTAGCCCCAGTCCAGGTCCATGGAGAAGTTTTCTCGCAGCTCCCACAACACGTCCAAGTATTCTTCGAGGTAGTCTCGGTTGAAGACCCTGGGTGCCATGATCGGGGACTTGGGTGTGGAGCAGGATAGCGACCCAGAAGAAGACCAACGAGAACACAGTGACTGACGCGACAAACAGCATGATCCGTGTCGAGGTGCAGTGTCGATGGGAGGGGGACTTATATGGATCCTGGGAGGGGGGCGCAAAGCCCCTCTGGGAAGGGTCTAAAAGGAGGGGGGATACCCCCCATCCCCCCTCTTTTCGAGGGGTCGAACTGGGGTGATGGGAAGGCACGTGACCCGGAGTATAAGAGGTGGGACCGGTCGCGACTCAGGTTGTCTACAGTTGGTCTCTGAACAAAGATGGCGGACTCCGTACCTGACGATTTGCCAGTCTTATCGGAAGAAATTTATTTGATGATTGCGAGAGAGTATCGATTAGCGACGGTGGAGGATCACGATGCTAACGGGTGGTGGCAAGTTCGGATGGAGATGAATTATTTACCCCGGTGCCCCAAATGGAAACGGATCATTAACCTCAAGGGGTTTTACGTTCCTCGCCATGCGAACCAGTTGGAGCCCGTGACGGGGTATTTTTACCGAAGACTGATCCGGAGGATGTTCGCCACCGAGGACAGGGATCCGCGGCTGTACCGGTGGTTCAGGGCTACCTTTGGTCCCGACGACTACCTCCGTCCAGGCCAGGCGTGCGAGTGGCCGTTTATCCACTGCCGCTATTGCGGGGAGTCCCACGAGTGTGGGAATGAGGAGGAAGAGGAAGAGCGCCAGTACCAGAAAGACCAGCGGGCCTACCGAAAAAAGATGCGACGTGTGGCCAACGTGTGGGCTCAACGCGACTGGCTGAAACGCCTCCGCCCTCGCCGCCCCAAGACCTGAACCCACTACCCATTTTAATGTTTGCAAAAGTCAATGATCAACCCTCAGATTAAAAAATAACCCCATTTTATTGATTATCACTCGGGTTGATCGCGTTGCGCCAGTTCTTGCACGTAGCGCTTTTAGGCCTCTCGGTATTGATCTTGCACGTGAAGGAGCATCTCGGTGTGATCGTGAAGGGCTTGCAACCCTCGTCGGATGCGTTCGCGGAGATACTCGTCCAAGGTTCGATAGTCGTCGAGGCGTAGACGGCGATCATACTCGGCATTCATGGTGACAGCGTGTCGTGGCTGCGTTGGAAGAGCGAGGTGACTTGCATGTGGTGCAGCGGCAGGGAACGGATGCCCAAGACGGCACTGCGTGGATGAAGCACCGGAGAGGTCGAGGTCGAGAGCGGAGTGAAGGTCTGGTCGCGCGGGGCGCGTTTATACCATTGCCCGGTCGTGACGTCACACAACAACAACTCTTGGCCCAAGGACGAGGCAAGCTCGGTCACGTGGTCGGTTTCGCTCATGTCGCTTAGGGGTGTGACCGACCCAAAGAGGTAGACGGTGTGTGCCTCGCGGAGCACGTGCTGGGTCGGACCCTCGATGAGGTGAACGGTCATCCCCTGGCATTCGGCCAGGTCGGCTATTTGGTTGTCGGGGGTGAAGACCGTGTAGTCCTGAAGTCTGGCAATGGTTCCGAGCGAACGACGTTTTCTCCTCCGTCGCCTGGACGGTCGTGACACGGGGCCTTTTTGCATGACTGGCCGGGACCGGGGAAGAGAGGGTATTCATAGAGCAAGGTGTGAGCACGCGGGGGCGGAGCCCGACCTGACCTATCGTGGTGACTTAGGCCCTTATAAGGCGTGGGGGACGTCATGGTGACACGTGATAGAAAGGGAGTATAAAACGGCGCGGGGCGGTCCTTGCGGCCTAGTTTCATCATGGCCGCTTGTACGAGACAACCCACGCGTCCGGCGCCCGTTCCGGCCGGTCGTGCCAAAGGCAAGAAACGTCGAGCGGACGACTCTTTGGAGGAGAAGACGGAGGTCTTGGAGGAAGGCGAGTTGGCCGCCTGGTTCTTGAACGAGATGGATCAGGCCACGCAGACGGATCCCGTCCCGTACGCGCCGGTGGACCGACCCCGTGTGTGGATGTGCCCGTTGCATCCCGACGAGACCTTGTCCGAGGGTCGCAAGGACGAGTTTGTCTATGTCTACTGCCCGCGCGACACGTGTCCCGTGTTCAGTCCCCAAGACCGAGTGGACGAATGGATGACCCTGGTGGCCCAACAGTTGCACGACGAGCTGCGTCAACGATGGGACGAATTGACCTGTTTTTGCGATCGACGGTTGTCGGTGCGCAAGAGCGGGTCGGAGAAGAACCCTCAGCGCATGTACGTGGCCTTTCGCGACGGAAGCTGTCGCTGTTTCCTGTGGTTGAACCTCCCGTTGTCGGGCAAGATGCGTCGTCGCATCCGTGGCGAAGAGTGGAGCAGTAGCAGCCTACCCAGGGCCAAACGAGAGTGCTTGGCCGCCCGAATGCGGGGCGTGGACGGGTCGGCGACCAAGGGGCTCATGATGTGCGACAATGGGTACAACACCCTGGCCTCCCCGGGCATTTTCGAAGGACTGAGGTATCGCACGTGGATGCACGGCGCTTGGGAGGAGTATCAAGGGGCCAGCACGCCGGAGGCACGTCGTCAAGTGTTGCTGTTGGCGCACGCTCGGTACGAGGGGGAAGATGGTCATCATCCCGAGAGTCTACGGGTGCTGAGAGAATTGCGCGACCATTGGTTGGAGGGGAAACCTAAAGTGTGGCGCGGCAGCGTCTTTACCGCCGACGAGATGGAGCGATTGAACGAGATCCGTCAGTCACGGTTGGAACCTGCCTGGTGGCAGCCACGCCGTGATAGTTTAAACCAATAAAAAATAAGAAAAGAGAGTCCTGTGTCTTGTCGTTATTGCAGCGCGTTCGTGCGACATGAAGAAGAAGCGCCGCGTGAGTTGGGCGGAAGCCTATCAAACGCCCTCGTTGCGCGGGAGTTTGGGGGATGTCGCGCGTCTGGCGTAAGCGCAGGGCGTGCCGGCGGCTCGCGCCCGGGCCCAGTTGCAAGGGTTGTTGAGTTACACCTTGCACAAACTGCGACGACGACGTTTCCCTACCCTGCCGGTGGTGGTGCATGGGATGGACGACCAATGGGTGGCCGACCTGGTGGAGATGAAACCGTTGAAGACATTCAATCGGGGGATGCGCTACTTGTTGACGGTGGTGGATGTGCTGTCCAAATATGCCTGGGTGGAACCGTTAAAGGCCAAGACGGGCGTGGCGGTGGCCGCGGCCTTCGAACGCATCCTGAAACAGGCTCGAGGGCGCCAACCCGTGCGATTGCAGACGGATGCCGGCAAAGAGTTTTACAACCAGTCGTTTCAGGCCCTGATGACGCGTCGGAAGATTCATCATTTCTCGACCTACGTGGATACCAAGTCGTCGGTGGTGGAACGACTCAATCGGACCTTGAAGGAACGCATGTACCGTTACTTTACCGCCCGCAACACGTACCGGTACGTGGACGCGTTACCCGCGTTGGTGCAGGGTTACAATGTGACCAAACACTGCTGCATCGGCATGCCCCCTTTGCGACGTGACGTGGGCCAACCAACGCCAGGTCTGGCAACGTTTGTACGGGAAACGTCTGGCGCGTCGCGTGCGTCCGAAATGGAAAGCGGGGGATCGCGTGCGTTTGCAGAAACAGCACCGTCCGTTCGAGAAAGGGTATCTGCCCGGTTAAACCGAAGAGGTGTTCCTGATCAACCGGGCCGTGCCGGGGCCCGTGGCTACCTATAAAATCAAGGAGTGGGACGGCACGCCCGTCAAAGGCACCTTTTACGAGCAAGACGTGCAGAAGGTCGACGTGCCGGACGGTGCTCTGTTTCGCGTGGAGAAAGTGTTGCAGCGTCGACGCCAAGAGGTCAAGGTGCGTTGGAAAGGCTGGCCCAAAAAATACGACAGTTGGATCCCTAAGCGTAGCCTGGCCTCGTTATGAGTCGTCGGGTGCCCTTGATGCCCCGCCCCGTTTGGCCGAATGCAGACGGCCCCGTTGCCCAGCCAAAAGACCTGGATGGATATGATGGAACGGTTGGAGGCGAAATACGGACCCCAGGCCAAACGGACCAAGACCAAGAGAAGGAAGAAGAAGAAGGTCAAGAAGATCAAGAAGAAGCGGCCCTCCAAGAAGGCCCAGCGAGCGTTCCGGGCCAAATTGGGAGGCATGGTCAAGCGCGGGAAGAGCGTCAGTTTGGACACGACCTTGCGTCAATTAATGTAAGCCTTTCCCCAGGCCGATCACGCGTTGAAGGTCTGGCCCAAACGATCCAGTTTGCATAGTACGGTGGGCCGGGTGCCTGGGTCCAAGCGTAAATTGAATACGTTCCTATAAAAGGGGTCCGTCCCCCACCCGACAGGAAAAGAGAGATGGAACCGTCCAGTCGATCGCTGTACGTCACGCTCCTGAGTAACACCAGCAAGCCGGAGTTTCCCCACAATACCCCGGCCTCGTTCAAGGTGCGATTGCCGTACCCTTTGCGCGTCAAGAACTGGCAGGTGGGCGTTGCCGGGGTCTACTTACCCGGACCCCCCAACACGGTGTCGCATGGGGTGACGTCGCATCCCGTGACGACCACGCCTGTGGCCCCTCTCACGGAACATCGGCAGTCCAATTTGTTCAAGGGATCGACCAACCAGCGATTGGTGCGCATGTATTCCCGAGCCCCCCAGAGGACCGATGGGACCAAGACGCAAGATATCACCAGTACCATGGAGGACGCCGACATGCCCGAAGCCGCCACGGGGGTGGTGTTTATGAAAGAAGTGTTCCATTGGTTGCGGCAAGATGGGATGAAGAAACTCCAGGGTACGACTTGAGGAAATGGTTGTCGTCCAGAAGGCGTATAAAACGACGACGCCGCTGAGGAGGAGACGCACTCTTCGTCCTCGGCATCATGAGCAGTTTGGACATTTTCTCGGTCCCTTCGACCGACTATGATCTGCAGGGCTATCGCATGGTGCCCTACCACAAATTGAGCAGCAGCATCACCCCGATGAAGTTCTCGGTGCAGCAATTGGAAGATTACGTGTATTTGAATCGCAGTTATTTCGTCATCGACTTGCGATTGTACTCGTCGTCCACCAACGGCATCGTGGCCGATGCCAATGCCGCCTCGGCTGCCAACAACACTCGGTTCGTGTACGCCGTCAACAACTTGGCCCACACCGTCTTCAAGCAGATCAACTTGCGGTTCAATGGCACCCTGATGACCGAACAGGCTGACACCTACGCCTACTCGGCCTATTTCCAGACGTTGCTCAACTACCACCGCGACGATGGGGAGACGTTGTTGCAACCGCAGGGGTGGGTCAATTTCTTGAACATACCAGCAGAGCTGGCCGCCGCCGGCGGCAACGACGACATCAGTACCACCAATGGCTGGGCCCACGGGGACACCAACGCACTCAAGACCCTGACGACCCCTTTCCGGGGCAATGCCGTGGTCCGTTTGATCATGCGCCCGTACCTGCCCGCCTTCCACACGGGCAAGATCATGGTGCCCGGGGTGGAAATGAATTTGGAACTGCACTTCAACAGTCCCGATTTCTACACCTTTAGCACCCTGACCAGTAGCACCGGCGTCAAGCGGTACGTGACGTTGCGAGAACAAGATGTGGACATCACCCTTCATTTGTGCCGACTGAGTCTCAACCCGGATATCTACGCGTCCCTGGAAGGGGAACGCAAGCTCCGAAAGCAGGTGGTCAAGTACCCGGTGGTGAGGGATCATATTCGTACGTTCACGTTCAACGGGACCACCACTGTGTGGCAACAAGATAACCTGTTCTCGGGCAAAGTGCCCCAGCGCATGATCGTGGGGATCTTGGACAGCACGACCTTCAATGGGGACAAGGAAAAGTACCCGTTTGCCTTCCAGAGCAAAGGGGTGACGTCCATTCGACAGTTTACCGAGGGTGAAGAGTACCCGTACGTCACCCTGGAACTCACGGGCATCACGACCTTGAAGAATCGACTGGGGCATTATCGGTTCTTGGAAGCGGCCGGGGCCGTGCCCAAACATCGCGAGTTCATGGTCAAACCGGACGAGTGGGGCCACAACAAGAATTGCACCCTGTTCATGTGGAACAACGTGCCCAGCGGGGACGCCGATGGCCCCAAACTCAATCCCAAGCAGACCGGCAACGTGCGTCTGGAGATCAAGTTCACGTCCCCACACCATCTTGGTGTGGGGAGAATTTGAAAGCGTCATCTACATCGATCACCTGGGCGCCGTGACGTATGATAACAGCGTGTAAAGGGACCCAGGGCTTAGTTGGACGATGGAGCTGGTGGCGTTGAGCGATCGTCAATTGAGAGCCTTGGCGCTCTCGGACCCCGAGTTGAAGCGCGTCTTCCAAGGCGTCTATCCCTCCGATCGATTGCCCGAGCGCCCTCCCAAGACCACCCGAGGCGCCTACATCGTCAATACGGACCCGGCCGGCGAACCGGGCCAGCATTGGTTGGGCCTCTGGACAGAAGAGGGGATGTGCGAAGTGATGGACAGTTACGGGTTGCCGTTGACCGTCTACGAAGCCCCGGGATTGCACGAGTGGATCGCGCACCATTGGAAGTACGTGCTGGGCACCGACAGGACCCTGCAGGCCTACGACAGTCGGGCCTGTGGCCACTATGCCTTCGCGTGCCTGCAAGACCGCGTGCGTTGACGGACCCTGCTGGAGTTTGTGGAAAGTTTTCGAGACGGCGATTACGTGTGGAACGATCATCGCGTGGGGGAACGCGTCCGTGCGTGGATCCAGACCAAACTGGACGAAGCCACCATGGACGAACCCGATGGACGACCGGACGCCCAACGCTGCGTGTCTCGACGTTGTTTATTTCCTGCATTAAACCAGTCTTGAAGGAAACGTGTGTCGTTTTTTGGTGTGTCCCAGAAGGGGGAGACGACGAAGAGGGATGAACATATAAAGGGGACGGGTGCCAGGGAGGGAGTGGGTGCGGGGGGCCTCCGCGCGAGCGGTCGGTCCCATCCCCAAGGGTTCTCTCCCGGCCGGTGGTGGGCACGTCCGGTGTTCCAAACAAATAGTGCTACCCTGGGCAGGTTGACCGAGTCTGGCTGCAAGGGTGCCCCGTACTCAACCAGGGGGCCTTAGCTCAGTGGGTAGAGCAGCGGCTTTGCAAGCCGCGGGTCATCGGTTCGAGTCCGATAGGTTCCACGCCACGTCGTCGCGGGCGCTCCATAAAACCGGTGCGCTCGCGGCGACGTGCTTTTTTTGTGAGACATGATTACGCGACAAGATAAGCGACGTGTCCTGGAAGCCTTGGACGAACGCCTGTTGATGGAACTCGTGATCCATCCCGTGGACGCGTTGTGCGACACTTGGGATTATGGACACTATCGAACCTTCCGTCGATTGGCGTGGGCCAGCGATTGACTGGGGTTGGCCCGGGCCTTGAACGCGGGCCCGAAAATCGCCGTGGTCGAGGCCACGCTGATCCTGATAAAAGAGGCCTCGCCGCGATTGTACGCCATGGTGACGCCATGATTCGTCATCCCCGCAACACGCTGGTGGGCGGCCCGTCGGGGTGCGGGAAATCGACGTGGACGCGCGGTTTGTTACGTGACGCCGAGGAACTGATGCACCCGCCTCCTCGGGTGAAACATTATTGTTACGGAGCCTGGCATCCGGCCTTTGACGAGATGAAGCAAGAGAAGGTGCAGTTTCACGAAGGACTGCCCACGTCGGAGGAGTTGGACCAATGGTTCGGTCCCACGCAAGGGGGACTCTTGGTGTTGGACGATCTCATGGACGAAGACGCCAACGACAAACGCGTGTTAGATCTCTTTTCCAAGCACTCGCATCATCGGAACATTAGCGTCCTGTTCTTGTGCCAGGATCTCTTCCCGCCTGGGAAATTCGCCACCACCATTTCGCGCAACGCGCATTACATCGTGGCTTTCAAGAACCCGCGGGATCAAGTGGGCATGCGCACGTTGACCCTGCAAGCCTTTCCCAACGACTGGTCGCACGTGATGAGCATCTTTCGCGAATGCACCCAACGCCCGTTTGGCTATTTAATGCTGGACCTGCATCCCGCGTCAGACGATCGGTACCGTCTCTTCACCAACGTGTTACCGGAGGAAGGACCGACGGAGACCTATGAACGCCAAGCATGAGTCGACGGACCACGCCCTCGTCGGACGAGTTTCGGGACGATCTAAATTACGATCAATTGACGTTTGAGAATGAACTGGCTCGAGAACAGGCTCGACAACAGCGGAGACGCCAGGCAGGCCTGCAACGGGGCTTATCGGAACGCATGGAAGGGCACACCACGCCCTTGTCGGTGGGAGTAGGGCGCTCCCCCTTTCAATCCCCTTACGTCAACCCGGATACCTTGCGCCGGGCCATGGAATCCGCGGGCGTGCCCACGGCCCCCCCGGCCGGGATGGGCGTCGCACCGAATGTGTCGTCTCCGAGTTCGGGCGTGCCCAGCGTGACGGCCATCCGGGCCGCGGCCCAGGACTTACCCTCGCCCACGTTTAGTCCCCGACAAATCGACGTCATGGAACGGATTCTTCGAGGGGACGTGCCCGAAGATCAAATCGATGCCCTGTTGGACTCGGTGGGTCTCGAAAACAACCAATTGACCGATTATATGGCCGAACGTCCACCGGCGCCCCCGCCACCACCACTTCCGGCTCCGGGAGGGACGCCGCGAAGGCGCGGTCGACCCCCGCATCGAGGCCGAGGCCGAGCCCGGGGACGCGGCGGGGTGCCACCCGGAGGGGGTGGCGGGGACGACGACGATGGAACCCTGCCCGGCGGTGGCGGCGGCGGTGGAGGGGGACGTCGTGGCCGTGGGCGTGGCCACGGCACACCCCCTCGACGAGCGCGCATGAATCAAGACGAATTGCGGTTTCAGATGGATCTGTTGGGCGAAGATGCCCGTCAACGCTGCGTGGGGCGCCGCATTGCCGGCATCACGCATACCAATACCATCACCACGGTCTACAAGGATGGAGGAGAACCCGAAGTCTATCGCACGTCCTCGCGTTTGTCCACCCCCAACACGTTTTAAAAACGCACGGAGTCGCCCTGGGACGGCCAAACGTCCAGATGCCACGACGGAAAAGACGCAGCCGTCGACGACGATGGCAACGAGGCGGCGTGTCGCTGGCCCTCATCACGGGGATTTTTAAGACGGCGCATAAGACCACCAAAGCCATTGGGGAACATCAGCAGAAAAACGCCGACAAGATCAGTCGAAAACGGAGAGCCGAGGTGGCGAGTGGCAAGCGTACAAAGTACGCGGGGGAATCGTTCAACTGCCCCATCATGTGACGCTATAAAAAACAGAGTCCGTGTCGGACCCTATCACATGACATCATGGTTCGACGCCGACGAAAAGCCAGTTATCGACGCCGACGCCGACGCCGACGCCACTACCAACGAGGGGGGATTTTACCCTTTCTCATTCCTCTAGGCCTCTTAGCCGCCAAGACCGCGGCGGCAGGCGCCATTAGTGGCGGCGTAGGGTATGGCGTGAAGAAAGCCCTCGACCGTCGAGGAAGACGATGAGAGAGCCTATACAAACAGAGTCCGTTTCCGATCCCGTTCCATTGGCATCATGGTCCTGCCCACACGAAGGAGGCGACGGAGACGACGTTGGCAACGAGGGGGGATTTTACCTTTTCTCGTGCCTCTAGGCATTGCGCCGCCAAGGCCATTGCGGCCGGGGCGGTGAGTGGCGCGGCCGGGTACAGGGTCAAGAAAGGGTTGGATGTGGCCATGCGCAAGAAACGCGTAGGCAAGATTTCCGCCGCGCAGGCGGCGGCTAACCAGCGCCTGGTTCGCAACATGCGCCGCCGATGGTTCAAGATCGCCGGGGTTAAGTAACCTATAAAGACCCCCTGGCCCGTTGGGAGGTAGGAGGACACCATGGTGCGACGCTTACAACGACAACTTCCGTTTTTGCGGAGCGTGTTGCGAGAAGCCGACCAGAACATGAGACGGGAACGATTGCAACACGCCAATGCCGATCAAGTCAATGCCATCAGTGAGTTGGTGATGAACACCTTGAAAGGGAATGTGGCCGTTCCGCCCCGACTCTTGGATCAATTGCGTCCTCACAAGCGCGCCTTGCGCGAGATGGCGCGTCGCAAGCATTCCATAAAACGGCGACGGCACGTCATGATGGCTCAAACTGGGGCGGGAGTGTGGCACGCCTTGGACCGCGTGCGTCGTCATTGCCTGTCAGGATGAGTCACGGGCCGTACCAGAAAAAGTACCTGGTGTCCCCGGCGGACATGGAGCAGTTGGTTGAACAATACGAAGGCACGTTGATGGAGAATTCGCGGTTAACCCATGCCGCGCGGTTGGCGGCCAAACAACACGTCTTGCTGGCCTCCCCCGAGATCCCGCCGGCTACCAAGAAGATCCGCGTCAAGGCAATGGGACCCGAGGTGCGTCGGGCCACCAAACGCGTGCGGACCATGACATTGCCGGGGGCCGACGACGACGACGAGTTTGCCCAAGGACCCATGGAGACCTTCTTGAAAACGCTTGTAAAAAGCAGCACTCCCCAACCCAGGGCCACACCCAAAGGGAAGCCGAAACTCCCAACCAAGCCGAAAATCCCGCCCAAGACACCCATCTCGTTGCGGTTACCGGACGACGATTGGGAAGAGGAATTGGCGGCGCCCATTCCCAGTACGTCCAAGAGCAAAGGGAGTGCCACGTTGAACAAAGGCAAGTCGCCTCTCTCTGTCTCGAGACCCCCCTTGACCGTCAAGAAACCCAGCCGATTTGGACAGGCGGCCAAAGAGGGTAAGAAACTGGCCAAGGAAGTGCTCAAGTTGAAACGACAACCCGGCTGGAGCGAGTGGGGGGAGAAGGTTCAGCGTAAACTTCATGGCATCGAGCCGTGGCCGTCGTCGCCGCCGTCGCATGATCGGTCGGGGCTTAGACGTGCAAAAATGGTTGGCTAAGACAGGTATCGAATTTCATTGGCCCGGGTACCAATACATGGGCCCAGGCACCCATTTGGAGAAACGCCTGAAGCGCGGGGATCCCGGCATCAACCGGTTGGACCGCATTGCGAAACAACACGACATCGATTATTCTCGTGCGCGCAATCTCCAGGACAAGTGGAAAACCGACGACAAGATGATTCGCGCCATCCAAACCCTCCCGGGAAAAAAGACCTGGACCGAAGCCATCGTCAAAAAAATCATGCAAGCCAAACGCAAATTGAAACTGTAACAGGTTTTATTGAGGCAAAGAGGTTGTAACTAAAGAAGAGTTCTAGCAACCTAATAAACTTTACATTTCACACTACAGTTTACATCTCAGTCTTGTTTACATCACGTCACACTTGAAGATCGTCCCTGGTTCCCGTCCTAGGCTCGTTAGGAGCATCCCTCCTCACACGCGCTCCAATCCACCGGTTCACACCATTCGGGCGGCATCATGACGTACATGACTTCCGTGGCGCCCAACCCCACGTCTTTTTTCGTCGGGCATTGACTCAACATGGTCTGGCACTGCTCACATCGACCATAGACTTTAAACACGGGGCGTACTTGGATGTCGTCATCGGGGACAACGTCCGTTTCCGCGAGTAAGATTTTCAAAAAATCGAAGGCGGGATGGATTCGGATGGCGGTCGGTAACGGGAGCATCTCCTTGATCAACCCGCAACAAATCATGGCCCGTAACTCGATGGGTTCCGGGGGCGGCACGGTCTTGGTCTTGGGATCCCATTTGGTGAGGTACGTAAAAATCCCCAACAACCGCTTGCTGATCTTGTCCGAATTGCCCGTCGTGAGACATCGGAGGAGCGCCGCCCCTCCTCACACACCATAAAAAGGCCTCTCTCACCCAGTCGACTCAAACCGATTTTTTCATGAGACTGTCTTTGGTATGGCGGGCCTTTTAGTTTTGATTGGTGCGTCCTCTGTGCGAGTGAGCTGGTCCGATCCGTCATCCGTACCCCCTGCTGCCGCTTGCTGGTCCATAAAGCGTGTTTCTACGCGGCCATGGCCATCAGTCCGTCCCGTCCTACGCCCACGTGCCCTCACTGTCAACAAGAGTTGGATCTTGGACGCTTTCGACGCTTGTGTTGGCATTTGTCGGGTAAGTGGAGTCCATGGTTTGAATGTCCCCTCGCCCCTGTTTCCCCCTCACGCTCATTCTTACCATGGGGTTTACTTACAGATCATGGATCCACCGTCTTCCGCTGGTCCTCCCAACGACCACGACGACCGGGTAAGTGGAACCCATCGGTTGAAGTCTCTCGCGTCCCTGGCACCGCTTGCTCATTCTTCCTTTGTTCGTTCCACTTAGGTGCCAGCACCACCACGACCACCACCATCGTCACCACGCCGCGACGCCAGGCCACCACAGGTAACCATATTTTTCATGTCACCCAAGGGAACCGACTTTTTTTGGGCCGTGATGTCAACCTGAGCCCACCCGGTTTGGTCGAAGACAAACCGGATCAAGTCAGTCCCTCCCCCGTTCTTTCTCGACTCAACGGGATGTCTTGCGTGATGGAGACCTTGTGCTCCAAAGGATCCGACACCTCCTTTCTCTCCGTCTCGCTTTGCTGAATTTTCCTGGGTCGTCTTCCAGTGGGCTGTGATACCTGGTTGCAGGTGGAGTCCACGTTGCCCCCTTTCCCCCTGTTTCCCTTACGGTATGGATTTCTCGTTGGCACCTGTTATAGAAGCTGTCTCATTTTTTTTTGGTATTTTTTTGTTCTGGCCGGTTTTTTCTCATAGGAGGAGCAGGTTTTCGATGTTTGACTTTCTTGGCTGTCCTCATCCACTGCTTTTTCTTCGTGCTGGCCAATAACTCTCTCCCTTTCGTTTTGCGCCACTTGCAAAGGGTAGGGTCTCCTTTCTTGATCGTCTCCTAGCTTGGTTCACTGGAGGTCTTTCATTCCCTTTGACGATTCTCCTCTGGATGGGTCGCTTGCCTTTGTCTTTGCTTTTTTTCGTTCTTCAGGTCCCGCTGTACCCTTGAAAACTGGGACGATGACTGGCCGTCTGTGAAAATGAAGGTCCAACAGCTCCCTCGCACTCTGACCTTATCGAGGTAGAGGGCATTCCTTGCCCAATCCAGTGACAGCCAGACGACCTGGGCAGACATATTTGGTGGCCTTTGAAATGACGCAGCCTGTTGGTTCACGTACTTGTTGCGCCATTGCCGAGTGGTGCATTTTCTGAGGCCGGGGAAGAACGAGGTTTACAGACCCACCTGACAAGCATTTCTGAACCAAGGGGAAGAACAGAGCCACCTGACAAGCATGGTTACTCCAGACATCCACTGGTGTAGGCTTGGATCTGGTAAGAGGGCCACCTGAAAAACGATGGCAGTCGATGGTGAAATACAATCCCTTGTGATTGGTTTGAGATGCTGTTGGAGATGCGATTGGAGCGTTCAGAGTCCTCCTTGCAGTTCTCCCTGTTCGTCCACACCCTTGCTGTCATCTTGTAGACAGTTGTTCGCCGAGCAGAAGTCGTCAAGCTGCGAGGGCTTGATGGTCTGGAGTTGGCTTCCTTTCCATCCCTGTACCCATGTCCTAGAGAAGTGGTTTCGTCTGACTGTCATCGGTGGTGGATCACCACCACAGAGGAACCTAGCTGTTGGCGATGACAACCTCCGTCCAGGGATGCGTGTGTGAACTGTGGGAGTAGTATTGCAACGGTGACAGGTCCCCAACTGGTTTTACCTCACAGCCTGGCCAAGTGGACTTGACATTGCCACCCTTTCCCTGGTGTCGTTTGAAGCCCCATCGCAGTCTGCCTTGACCTGTTGTGCTGGTTTCTGACTGTGTGGGTTCGTCGGTGCTTTCCTCACAAGAACACACCCTGTCGATTGGCTTCTTTGGTGAATTGATTTGGAGCAAACCAGTTCATGGCCGTCTGTATCCATCCCTGATGACTCCTCGAGCACGTGACGAACCCGTGTCTTGCGCGAAACATCGGCTTTTGGTGCTTCTTGGATGGTTGCCTGCGCAGTGGTCTGTTTGTGCGCTCTCGCAGACGCTGTTTCCATGGCTTGTCCTTGGGTTGTCTGGGGAAGAAATGGAAGTGGCGGGTCACCCAAACAGAGAAAGCCTGACGAGTCGAACGCGTTGAGTTTGGGGAACGCTGTGACCTGGACACCACTCCACGACATCAAGCAAGACCTTTCCATAGCCTTTCGTGCAGACCCAAGCAAGTCCATTCCATTTTTTCGGGGGCGTCATCCGTTCCATCACCTTGTTTTTTGGGTGGGACATCTGTTCCAGCCTTTCTTCATCGTTTGGTGTGTTGACTGCTTGTTCTGCAGATTCACTGACCCAAGCAAGTCTTCCGTCACTAGCACAGGGTTCCTGAATCATTCATTTTCACTGCCACAGGGTTCCTGATGCATTCCAGTTGCACTTGTTTGGACTCGTGGAAGTTCGTCGAGATCCATTGGACTGTCAGAGCTCCATTGGTTTGTTCGATATCGGGCGTCTCTTTTCTTAAAAGACAGGATTTGGGAGATTTTCCTGGGCTTTGCAAGAGGACTCCTGCACGAAACCACCCCACTTGTGTGGTATGGAACAACATGTTATTCCCGTCGTGCCTACCTGTCTTTTCCTACTTTTGTAGGTACAGGTGAGTTGGTTCTACTTCATGTTCGTGGACGATGGAAGCTATTGGTCGACGATGGTATCTAACTTGATTTGGAAGTCATTCTCAATGTGGGTCTGCCGGTATCAGCTGCGCCCAAGTTTCAGGCCGTGGGTTGCTTTTGTATGAGAGCCCGACGAGCCATCAAGCTCTGAGATGGACGATCTCCTTTATCATCAGCAGCATTTGGCTTGGAGTTCACGGACCGTTTGGTGGTTTGGACTTCCCCGTTCGAGGCATCCCTGTACCGCTCTCTTCATGACGCTGGTTTCGTCTGTTGATTTGGCCGATCGATGGGGGACGCATTCCCCTCTGCTTCTTTGGCATGGTATGTGGCCACTTTTTCTGTTGGGCGTGGCAGCAGACTCAGCCGACGTGAATGCCTCTCTTCGGCCGTGATATCAAGTTAGGTTCACTGGGACTTGGTAAGGGTCCCTAGGAACTTGAGAGGCTGGAGAGCTTACGTTGGCTAGGCGTCAGCTTGTCGAGGTTTATCCAGCCCCTCGGCGGACACTCGTGTTCAAGGTGGGTTTCTCCTAACTGCCTTGAGGTGTTTTATCCCTGGGAATTGGACTGGCATGAGCCTCGTAGGTGTGTATGCTGCTGGGCTATGCATGTTCTTGGCTGGTCGTCCCTCCATCATCACCTGCACTAGGTTCCTGGGGAACGGACCTTCACGGCTACAACGGTCTTGGTGGCGTGTTCTGCGTGTCAGGGCCTATGTGTTGGGTTTGTCAACCGAAGGCTCTTGGGCGAGTTGGTCAACCGGTTGGAGTCGTATCTTTGGGTGCAATTGGCATCTCAGTCATTCCTGGTTTACCCCAGTGGGCCTGTCGTGCCAGGTCGCTCTTCAGACCCGCTTGGTCATCTCTTCCCCCTCTTTTCCTCCCCATTGGTTGATCCATTTGGTCTGCGTCCTGTTTCCCCACCCCATTCACCTTCCTCCATCTTTTTTCCGAGACTCTCCTTCTCTTTTGGTCCCTCGCACCAGCTACTCTCCCTTCACACCTTTACTCATCCCTCTCTTCTCATGGTTACTTCCCAGTTTTTCCTCTGTCGTTCCATCCACTGATGCATTGTCTTTTTCTCGGGACTAACTTGACTCGGTTTGTTTTTTCTCAAACCTTTAGGGCACCTCCAGCGAGTCGACCCCGGACAGCGACGAATGGAACAGTCGACGCCCGTTGCAGTGCGACGAACGTCTGCCGACCACCACCAGCAGCAGCGACGACGAAGTGTGTCTGCAAGCGCTGCAAGCCGCCGAAAGACAATCCGGTGGCGGGCTCCGGTTCCAGCTCACACCCTACACCGTCCATCACCGCCCCTCGTTCGGTGTCACCTGGCAAACGTTCCGGGGACGACTGCAAGGACAACCCAGCTCGGGCGACGCCTCGGAGGAAGTGATTCGCGCCCTGGGCCAAGCCATCCGAGAGCAATCGCGTCCGTGGCACGACGACGATTATTTGCAGATCTACCTGGGATCCAACCGCTTGGCCAATAATTTTACCAGTGCCCGCGTACGGGTGAGAGATTGGCGCCACACGCAAGGTCCCGCGCGGCATCTGCTCGAACAGATGACGGCCCTCTTGAACTCCA